AATTGTACTGTAGATAATATGTTATGTTGGTTCAAGAATGCCAATAATCTCTTTTTTACAATTTTTTCTATAACTTTTGAAATGGTAGATAGTAAAGCTATTGGTCTGAAATTTGAAGGAGTCTCCAGCTCTCCTCCTTTATGGATTGGCACTATAACGGCTGTTTTCAAACATGACGGAAAAACACCACTGGCAAAGGATTTATTTATTTCTTCTGGATGTCGAGGGACTCAAAACTGCATATTTCAAAATACAGAAATAATTCGATTTCTCCATTTTGATTTTTGACATTTTTTGATTTTTGACATAGACAGATTGTGTTGTCTTATTTGATACAGAGTTTTTCTTTTTCATATGTATCTAACATCTCCTATGATTTTCAAATTCAGATTTTCAACAGATTCAAATCATATTATTTCATATTAGACAGTAAGAGGCCGAACTGATGAAATTTACCATGAAAATCTTCAGCGATTCAAATCCAATGTGAATCGCTACTTTCGCATAGTCACCGCTCTTAGAGCACTTAAAAGATTTTCCTGTAGTGCTTGTATTTTGTTCTTGGAAAAAAATCATTGTCAACCTTCTTCAAATCCAATGAATGATATATTTACTGGTGATTTCTGAATTTTTTGAACATATTTGAAAAGAACACAGCATATATTTAGTAGCTGCCCTGATTGTTATTTTCAATATGGTGCTTACGTCATCAATTGTCTTTATCGATTTTATCAACTTGAAATCTCAGACAATATTTTTCAGTTACGAAAAACACTCATTATTCAGACCTTTTTGAGTAAAAAAGCATACTTTTAGCTTTTTCAAATGTATAAGCAGGTGTTATTAACATAGTCACACTATTGATGAGACAATTTGCTGGAATAATTTCAAATTACCTTTTTATCTTACTCGCAAAAATTCTTATCACACAAAATGATATCGTGACACTTCAGCAAACCTTTCACTGTTCAGTCGGTTTTGTTAATTCGATTAGAATGGTTTATTTACGAGGTGTAGGGCTTGTGGTAATCGAAATCTGCTTACTTAGTACTTTCTCAGAGGTGAGTAAGAGAACTTTGGGATAGCATCTTCTCAAATGAAAATGAGAAGAATTTAAACGGATAATGTTTGAAATATTCTAGATTTTTGCAATGTTAACTCATCAGTGTCAGGAGAATTGAAATAATTCACAAAAAATAGACGAAATATTGGTATCTACAGAAAAATTATCTCAAAAATATGATGGGTGGGAAATATATATGACGATTACCAATTCTATGGTTCTGCTGCTGGATGAACGAGAAAAATCTGAAACACTAACCTCTGAGAGTTATCTTGCATAAATATCTGTTGGATATAATTCAATATCCAGCGTGGTATTAGCCGGGGAAGTAGTTGCTTCCCAGCAGGAATTTACCAGAACTTGTATGGCGTATTCTTTTGACATACGTCAAAACGTCTAGACGTCACATGCGATAGTTTACATGAATGCATATGCTGGAGATTCTTGAAAATCCAGTTATGGTTTATATTTTCGTTTTCAACCTCTCTTCTTAGTAATGGCAACGAGGTACAATACATTTCCACAGAGCTATTTGGAACACAGCTGTTACCTGCTAAAAGTATATATACGCATCTGTTTAAAAAATCTGTTTGAAATCTGTTTTTCCGTTAATCAGCTGTCGCCTCCATACGAACGACAACTCTCAGAAGTTGAGAAACTTTTGCGAGCTAAGGACTGACGGACATACTTCGAGTTTTCTAATTTCTTCATCAGTTTCTTTGGTGATAATTTTTGTTTTACCCCATTCTATAGCGTCATCACCAGTTGATTTTGAAATATTCTTCGCTTTATTTTATGGACGCGCCTTCCAACCCCAGAAAATATAGCGGTACGTTGAAACAGTGATGAATAGGGAACTTCATTTTATGAACGCGCCTTTTTCCGCCGCCGCTTGCACTCCAGTTGGAATATTTTAAAATAATTTCCTAATGCATATCTACAAAATGAAACAAACCTCCGAAAAAAGTAATTTTCAAATGTAAACGCTTCCCTTTTATTACCAGAGGAATCGTTCCCGTTAAAATATTTAAACATAAAACGAACCTACATACAAAATTTCAGCCTCCGAAAATATAGCGGTACGGAGGAACAGTGATGAAAAGGTAATTTTTGTATGTAAACGCGCCCCTTTCATCTCCAAGGGCGTCGCTCTCGTTAGAATATGCAAAAATCCTCTTATTTCATATCTGTCACATGAAACGAACCTACATACTGAATTTCAGGCTCTGAAAATATACGGAGAAACAGTAATGTTAATAATTTTCATATGTAAACGCGCCCCTTTTATCCCCAGTGGGTGGGCCCAGTTGAAATATCTGAAAATCCTTTCTTGTTGTTCATCTACAACATAAGGCGAACCTACATACAAAATTTCAGCCTCCGAAAATATAGCGGTACGGAGGAACAGTGATGAAAAGGTAATTTTTGTATGTAAACGCGCCCCTTTCATCTCCAGGGGCGTCGCTCTCCTTAGAATATGCAAAAATCCTCTTATTTCATATCTGTCACATGAAACGAACCTACATACTGAATTTCAGGCTCTGAAAATATACGGAGAAACAGTAATGTTAATAATTTTCATATGTAAACGCGCCCCTTTTATCCCCAGTGGGTGGGCCCAGTTGAAATATCTGAAAATCCTTTCTTGTTGTTCATCTACAACATAAGGCGAACCTACATACCGAAATTTAGCCTCCGAAAATATAGCGGTACGGAGAAACAGTGATTACAAATTGATTTTCATATGTGAACGCTTCCCTTTCATCCCCAGGGGGAACGTTCCTGTTGAAATATCAAAAAATCCTCTATTGATGCACACTTACAATATATAACGAACCTATACAAAATTTTAGCCTCCAAAAATATAGCGGTACGGAAGAACAGTGATGAAAAGGTAATTTTCATATGTAAACGCGCCCCTTTCATCTCCAGGGGCGTCGCTCTCGTTAGAATATGCAAAAATCCTCTTATTTCATATCTGTCACATGAAACGAACCTACATACTGAATTTCAGGCTCTGAAAATATACGGAGAAACAGTAATGATAATAATTTTCATATGTAAATGCGCCCCTTTTATCACCAGTGGATGGGCCCAGTTGAAATATCTGAAAATCCTTTCTTGTTGTTCATCTACAACATAAGGCGAACCTACATACAAAAATTTAGCCTCCGAAAATATATCGGTACGGAGAAACAATGATGAAAAGGTAATTTTCGTATGTAAACGCGCTATACCACTGGTGGTACACGTACCACCGGTTGGGAACCCCTGATCTATACCTGTAAATTTCCGGTGGGTGAATTTATATTTAGTATCAGCGAGTCGCTAGTACAATATATTCAGTAGAATTGGCCAATATTTGATGCGAATCTAGTTTACAGAACCTCAACACGTGTTTCTCTATACAGGGTGACAACGAAATCATTATTGGCGCGGTGTATAATTGTTCATTGTTTATGTGGTAAGAAATTCAAAATTTTCATTAAAGGTATAGTTTATCGAAATTGATATTTTAAATGATGAAACACTCGGAAATCAAGACAGCGCTAATTGAAAATGAACCCAAGTCAAAAATTTCAAATGAAACCCTATAAATTTTATCAACCACTCAATTGGATACATTTTTTAAATAACATAATGAAAGGTATGGCCATTTTTATTCAAAATGGCGGCGTGGGAGCCATTTTCTTCAAATTCATAATGGCGTCACTATGGCGACATCTATGGAAATATTGTCGAAGAATTCGACGTAGGGAGAAATAAACGACGAAATTTGGTCGGTTTTTCAATGAAAGTAAGAAAATTGAATTCATTTTTCAAAACACTTATTTTTTCCTGATTTTTTCCAAATTGTGTTTGATCATAATCATATCTTCTCATCCAAATAATCGCCTACGATTTTTATCTGTGGTATTCTTATTCTACACAGAACAATGACTTGAAATTTATGTAAGTGGACAAAAATTAGATTTCACTGATTTGAATAATCTATTTTCTCCAAATCTTGATAAAAAATCTACGTCACAAAATTATTCAATTGACGCACAAAGTTTGAATTCTGATCGCCTTTTTCCTATGACGTGAGTACTTTTCCCAATTTTCCAGTTGGTCGATCAATATCAGTGATAAATTATTGATATATCACTGATAAATTAATCTTATTAATCTTTTCTTTGTGAAGGTGATAATGATCTCCACTTGCTTGCTGAAAATTCTCTTGTACATTGTAAGAATCCATGTAGGTCGATAGTGATTTTTGAGTAAATCCAAGTACATATTCCTTATTGAATTTCCTCAATGATGTTTCCTTAATGATGCTGAGGTTAGAGAATTTTTATTATTTCTGTAACTTAAAAGACAAACTCACCCGATAATTTTCAGTTCGACGAACNTAAAACCGATTTGGTTGTGCGTGGAAGGGTTTCCGGTTCTTGTATTGCTGTACACTTGCACGGGTATAGACGTTGAAAACTAATTTATGATTGAAATAATTAAAATCTTGATTGATTTATTCAGTGAGTGAATTGGAAATAGTAGGTAAGCTTGTTATTGTAAGTGATTGACTATTTTAGATAATAGGTAAGTGTAGTTTCGTGTTATCACATTTCTTTCAGTTTGTATTGTTATCCTGGAAGTAGTTGTTTTTGGCCGGCATTTACCAGAACCTACTGTGTATGAACGTTGGAAGAGATAAATGTTTTCAGATTTTCATCTTCAAATATTTATTTAATATTTGTTTTCTTATAGAAGAATCATTTTCAAAATTAATATGATGTTTTTATTACGACCGGCTTTAAATCGGACGTGGAAAAATATTATTCTTCAAATTGCCATTATTTACTACTCGTACTTCATTACATTTATTGCCTTTAGAATGATTAGGTAATGTTTCAAAAGATAGTGACACTTTTGAGGGCGTTAATTTCCGCAGAAATATAATTTTACGTATATAATAGTAATTTGAGGGGCATAAATCTGCATAAATGAATTAATTTTCTCCAAGCATACTTACATTCTGAAAAATCATCCGAAAAAATGATGTGATAATGGTTTTAATATACTTAATAATCATTATTCATGAACGATATGAATATTTGGGTCGAAAAAGATCTATCTAAGTGAGCAACACCAACTAATTGTTAAATAGTTCACGTGTAATACACCTTGTATATTTTCACATGTTTGAATATCTGGTATAACTATATTGTGAGTTTCTGTAATACATTCTATACCAATAATGGTACGTTTTCGAGATATTAATTGTTCTCTCAAAAAACCAGGTATTCGACTGTCGAGTGATTCCCCCATAAAATTCAAATATTTGATGAAATACATATATAAGCTATTATTAAGGCATCAAAATATTTAATTTCATCGATTCGTAGGAGTAACATTTCCAAAATGTTATACAATCGATGACTATTTCTGAATAGGTGTATGAAAACGGACAACCCAGTATTTTCAAATGAGACGCTCTGTATTTTGGGATACTTTTGAAATTAGGAGGTAATATTGATTTCTTTCCTGAAACATCCTCTATATCAAAAATTAACCGTTAAAGATATATTTTAGTTTTTCTTGAAAAAATAAAGCATTCGCATGTGCACCATAAAACTACGGGCTACAAAGTGTCCATTTCGAACAGTTACAGAAAGTTTATTATAGACAGGATTTTATATGAATCAATAATTGAATAAAAAAAAGTTTCAAATATGTTTAATATATGTTTTTACGCTAACCAGCTATCGCATCCCTACGAACAACAACCCTCAGAAGTCTAAACTTGTGCAAGCTAAGAACCAACGAGGTGTTATTTTTCAACGTGTGATTCCTAACACGGGTTGTACGATGGCAAGTGAAAATCGACCGTTCAGTCTGAGGCTTGAACCATCGACTCACACATCGGCCGATTGACTGAGTGAACAAAGTACCCACGTCGAACCGACCGGCTACCAACCGACTATTCTAAATGTTCCATAAAAGAGCGAACATTCAGAAATATTGCATTGTATTTTCACTCAAGATATAAAAACTATTCCAAAATATGTTCGAAGACATTTCCATTAACTTCCAGGCATTTATGAACTCTCTTTATCAAATTGTTATTCACAGCACGACTGATTTCATCGGCATCAAGGGCGCTGAATGCTTGTTGAACTTTCCTAACTACATTCTCGTTACATAATAGTCCATAGAAGACAGATCAGGTGAACGTGCTAGCCAAAGGTACGACCCATTATTGACAATCCACTTATCAAAAAAAGATTGATAGATTAAATCATCGATTCCAAACACCTTGTGAAACATTTTGAAAATGTTACTCCTACCTATCGGGCGCGTCCCCAGGTGACGGATAGGGGAACGGCCAGGGGACTGGAGGCCCTGTCTGTGGGAAGCCAATGTGGCCTTACCGACGGGGTCGTCAGATTCCTGGTCAGTGGCAAAAATAAGTAGGGTGAGGGGAACTAAAACTCCTCAAAAGCCTTTGCAAAACATGCAACCCTGGACCAGCCTACCCATGCTCAGGTGTAAGGTATCGTGCCGACAGCTGAATGGCCGCAGGGTCACGAACGATCCCCCTGGCGAACTGGGCGAAACCTCATTGTAATGAGCCTACCTCTGGTAATGCGGGGCTCTGCCAGAGTTGACCAACTCTTCCCTGGCTACTCGTGGGGAGACACACGAATGAAACAACAGAAACAACAAAAACAAAAACCAATCCCGATGCAAGTCTAGGCTTGCCAATATTAAGGAGATGTCTTCTAGTGACCTGTTCACAGGAGACGATGACCTCCCTACTCTACGGATACCAGATACCAGAGATGTTACTCCTACAAGACGATGCAAAGAAGTATTTTGATGAAACAATAATAGCTCACTCATGTATTCTATCAAAATTTTGAATTTTATGAGGGAATCACTCCAGAGCCGAATACCTAGATTTTTTGAGTATGAGTAGAAATTTCGAGAACGAGGGTGTATTACATATGACATCTATTTAAACATGTGTAAATATACAAGGTGTTATATTTCAGTTAGGGAAGATGGTACCAACTTCTGGTAAAACCAGAATTGTTAAAATAACGCCATTATTTTCATTCGATGAAACATATTAAAAAACCTTGTTTTGTAGATAATTTTGTTGTTGTTTGCTCCGATGATATTTATGTAGTTATTATTATGGTAATATCATTGACAGTGTCAAAACCAACCATCATTTTCCAAATTTCCGTTCTAGCCAATTACATAGACAAAAATCAAGATGTATACTAAAAATATATCACCTTTTCGGTTAATTTTGGGGATGAAGACAACAATAACTATTCAACATGGAAGTGAAATTATCACCTTTCATAATAGGTGTCAGAACAATCTGATTTATCGATTACAATGTTCTTGTTTGGCTCATTCAGTCAAATGAGGTCAAGTGAATCGAGTCGATTTTGCGTTTTATGACAAAATATTTCAGTCTTCTAGGAATCGCACGTCAAAAGTTGAGAGCTCCTCAATCTCTTGCTACCACAGTTATTCCGAAGACAGCAGAGTCAATCTGGTTAACAGAAAACCCATATTTGAACCATCTCCATCTCCAAATCAATTGAGATCCTATTGTCTTACAGACTGTCAGAATCAACCAAATCTAAATATTTCCACTTGGCCGCAGGGAGGTTCCGCGTTATTTAGTCAAGAGGGGGAATAATACTGAATTATTATGTATTTTTGTTAAGTATCATTGAAGTAATTCTAGACTTGTTTCTTACAGATATCTGGGAATGTAGAAGTAACAATTTCTGATGGTCACATTCTTGGTAGACAACTTGAAACAGAAAATAAAACTCCATATTTAGCATTCCAAGATATTCCATATGCCAAACCACCGGTTGGAGACTTGAGATTCAAAGTAAGTCAAAGAAATTATCCAAAAAAATAGCTATCGACAATGATTATTTTAAGAAGAGAATCAGACAACTGAGAGATTATCTGGGGTTAGTTCAAGAATTTACCGGAAAGCACCACTTTGACCTAACTATTGCTCTTATTGATTGATTTATAGATGAACATAAAGATATATATGAACGTGATATATTCTGAAATGGAATATTTTTCATTTCCAATGAGATCTAAAAAGACGCAATAAATAATATATGAGGTCGTACATATCAAATATGCGTTCGTTGATATATTCGATTGTTTCAAAAGTTCCATTCCAATGTCATGTGTGGATATCTGTTGGATATTTTCATCATCCACGCTGGTGTTCCCCAGGGATCCATATTGGCATAATGGCCATATTCTCCGTAGAGTATTAAGCGTGGCTTGAGCTCGCTTGATTCATGAATGTCATATCAGCCTTGAACTTGATTAAAAATATGTTTATGGTCGCAATCTCTGTGGAGTATTGAGCCTGGCTCAGACGTCAAGTTTACTCAATGTCAGGCCTTCCACTTTGGCGACATATAAACAAATTCACCGTAGACTATTCAGGCTAGCTTGGACATTAAGCTTGCTCAAAGTTGACCCTTCCATTTTGGTACATCTGGTCGTATTTTCCGTAGAGTATTAAGCCTGGCTCGGACCTTAAATTACCTCAATACGTAAATGTCATATGCATCGTGACAAAAATGAGCCTCAAGTTGACTGAATGTTAAGTCCTCCACTTTGGCGGCTCAGAGGCTTCAAGCCAAGATTCAATGCACGTAAAATAAATTGGTGACCTAAAATAGACTTCTGACTGCAGTGGAGAGTGACAAGTACCATCATAACCTATAAATAAAGAATATTTATATATCCTTAGCATTCAACCTTCCATCTTTGTGTTGATTTCACTAAATGAAGTGAAAGTTTGGTATATGATGTATTTACTTGAATAGTTTCAGAAATATTTAGGCTTTGCCACATGTAGATTGGTCTTAGGAGAGCTTGGTTTGAATAAATACGGTGCAAAACATCTAATGATATTAGCTATAATTGATTTTCTTTGCCGAGCTCAGTGATATACGGAGAATATGGGCAAGAAAATAGAAAAGTTATCTTTGCCGTGTCAAATTGATTCCATTGTGTTACAGGAACCCGTAAGACCTGAGAAATGGAAAGGAGTCTTGAATACAACGGAAAATCGAAAGGTTTGCATCCAATTTAGCGACCCTTCTGATCCAAGAGAAACCGAGGATTGTTTGGTGCTGAATGTTTATACACCGGTGGTAAATATGAAATATATTTATTTCTGTGAATAACATTTCGGAATTGTATTTCCATCAAAATGGTTTCACTGATATGTTTGAAAGAAATTTTTTTGGTATAAAAATGTAACCATACATGAACATTGTTTTTTCTGTTTCATTTCTTGATGGAGGTAGAACTCTGAAGTGAAGTTAAGACTGCTCTCATTTTGTCAGAACTGAATTAATTCTCCTGATTTAGAATTCAGATACTTTATTCATTGATTCTATAGCATAACATATGGGCTGGAAAATCCCGGATCCAAGAAAGAAAACGCGTTTATTTTTGTTCAATGTCCATCATCTCTATCTACATCAAGAGTGACACAATAATTCCAGCTCCGCTTTAACATTTCATTATCACTTATGTAGGACAGTTGATTTTTTTTCGCCTCAAATTAGGCCTCAGTTTCATTAATAACCTCTTCATTGAGCAAATTTTTTACCGATGAGCATTTCTTTCAGGTCTGTTAACAGCAAGTAGTCGCTACGGGAGGAATTCGAAGCCAATTTTATGCAATTTTGCTATCGTTTTCATTGATTTGTGACACTGTGCATATTCTTAATGAAACCGCACTTTTTTCTCTTCAAATGGGATCTTTTTTCCGCAATTTTGGCCTTCAAATGCTCCAATAACGCTATATAATATTCACTGTTGATGGTATTTCCCTTCCCCAAGATAATCGATGAATATTACACCACGCACATCCCAAAATACCGAGACCATAACCTTTCCAGTCGATTGTTGTGCTTTCATGTGCTTTGGACGAGGTTCAACAGTTGCTCCCTACTCAGATGACTATCGCTTCAATTTTGGAGTGAAGTGATGGATCCAAGTTTCATCCATTGTCAGGTATTGGTGTGTTATGTTTGAACATGACCAAACACTGCTCAGAATCGTCAAGACATTCTTGTTTTTGGTCAACAGTGAGCCCACTTTGAACATAGTCTAATGCTCATGCAATATAAAGCCAACACGTTCTGTTGATATCTTTACAATATCAGCTAACTCATGCAACTTCTTTTTTCATCATTCAAAATGATTTTGTGTTTTTTTATGTTTTCTGGTGTTACTTTCTCATCTGGACGTCCACTGTGTTCTGTATCATCGGTGTCTCTACGACTATGTTTGAAGTCAGCAAACCAGTGTTCAATTATTGTTTCTGATGGAATGTACTCCTTATAACACTTTGAAAACCATTGATTAACCTGAACGGTATTTTTCCCACCAGAAAGCAGTGTAAATTCAAAACAGAAAATTGCTTTGATCCATTGTTTTGAAAATAACAAAAGAAGTGTCACTCTTAGCACAATAACTCACAAACTTATGATCAGAATATCACGAAATTTCAACAGCTTCCTTTTAAAGATTATTACAAACCGAAAAAGCGGTGAATGCAATCAAACTGGCGCCATCTATGTGTTAGACCCGACAATTTTTAGCCCAGATAGTATATGTAGGTACCAGTATCCTGAAATTGAAGGAAATCAAATTGAAGGCAATCAATAGACTCTCTATTCAAACTCTCTAGTCCACAAGAATGAAACTTCTGTAATTTTTTGTTATTTATGGATAAAGTCTTCAAAAATCGTCTATTACTCATTATTCCAGCGCTGACGATTTCAAAATCGACACTATTTCTGACAATTGGAATTGAATGAATTGAATTGATTTTCTGATGGTTTTCTGTCAATGTCTCATTGATTTCATCATATATGAGTTAGTTTTAATGTAGTTACTTGGTCTATAGGTAGGTCGGATCAGGAACTTTATCTAACACTGTTTTTTGTACCTCTCCTCAATTATAGAGCCTAGTGTTCTGATGCGTTTTTCAATGATACATGCTCTACATTCCTGCATAATTCAGTAGAGCTCGAAATTACCTTTCTGAAACTGTTTCACACTTGATGTTTTACTGGAGTCATCTTTAAATACAGAGCTTTCAGATTTTTTGGAAGAAATATTCGTTTAAGGAGCTGTTGAAAATAATCTCAAAACGTCAATGCGAAATTTGAAGATGTCAACCGTAAGCCGGCCAGGTCACCGAATCTAACACCTATGGACTTTTACCTCTGGGTAAGGTTGAAAGATCTCATTTCCAAATTGCCGACCAATTCTAGATATGAATTGGAAGCGGTAGTGATGCGAATTTTTGCTTCTCATTCCTGTATCTGTATCTGTAGAGTAGGGAGGGTGAGTGTAAGCCCTCGCACTTAGGCCACATGTGACCCATTGTACATCCTCCCGAGGAGTTGTCCTCCTAGGTCATCGTCCATCCTGTTCTCTCCAGGAAGGTGGACATGTCGCTGGGAGACATCTCCTTTATATCGGCAGGTGTAGGCCAAGACTCGCCGAACACACACTCTCTTATTGACGATAACTCCGGGCACTCGAACAGGACATGCCTGACAGTCTCATCTTCCTGTTCACACATCCTGCATAGAGGTGTGTCCACTAGCTCCATATTATGTAGGTGTTTCCTTAGCTGACAGTGGCCAGTCAGAAATCCTACTGTAAGGCGTATATTTTTCCTGGTCATCGCCAGATATTTCTTCGGCGCCAGCTTCCCAGGGTCGCTCAAGGTGATCCTGGCAAGATTACATCCTTTGATTTCATCATCTCTTTAAGGATTGAGCATGGGTGTAACATTTGACTAGCTTCCTTGGCTGAAGAGTCGGCAATGCGATTACCTTTACTCCTGTCGTGCCCTTTAACCCCCCTCAGGATGATGTTATTATCAACCGAAGCTTTGGCTAAATCTTGCTGGCACTCTAGTGCTAGCCCCGAAGTAACACGCTGTCTGTTCAAGGCTGATAGTGCTTGTCTGCTATCAGTGCAGATTGTTATGTTTTTCCCAGAAACTCCTTTCTTAGTTATTTCTTTTGTGGCGATTGAGATACCAGCCAGTTCTGTTTGGACCACGCAGGTGTTCCTTCCCATTCCCCACTTAATCCTTAGGCTTAGTGATCTGGAGTGATCCTTAGTGATCCTGAGCCTTCTTTGGTTTTTGAGCCGTCTGTATAAATCCGTATTGCTTTTGTAGCATCTGATTCTGTGTTCTGCTTAATTTGTATTTTGTAGGGTTTATTAAACACAAACCTGGGTTCAATTGCATCACTTGTTGCCTGCAGCAGAGGTTGCGCAGTAAGCGCTTTCCGCCATAGGCCCAGCCTCAATTGACCGATTCCTACTTCGAGGTTTACACCAGCCGTGCGCAATTGTACCATGGCCATTAACGCAACCTCCTTAACGTACAGATCCAGAGGGGTCAGACCCGTGATTAATTCCATTGCCGCGGTTGGTGTTGTTCTCATGGCTCCTGTGATGTTTAAACAAGCCAGTCGCTGTATTTGATATAATTTTTGGATGGCTGTTGCTTGTAGAACTTTCGGTCCCCATGCAATGGCTCCATACGTTAACATAGGTCTTATTATTGCAGTGTAGATCCAGGCGACTACACGGGGTGAAAGACCCCATGCGCGTCCCACTGTTCTCCGACATTGCTCATAAGCCACGTATGCTCTTTCTGCTCCACTCTGTAGATAAGAGTTCCAGGTTAGCTTCTTGTCGAGGATAGTACCAAGGTATTTCACCTCTTCAGAGAAGTTTAGTTTACTTTTGAAGCTTTCGGGAGGTTTTAAGCCCGTTAAACTTCTTTTCCTGGTGAAAAGGACCATCTCAGGCTTCTCATTCCTGTTGACAGAAAACGTTCAAAAAAGATCTCGCATGTGTGTTGGAGAAGCTGGTAGGCATTTCGAACATTTTTTCTGGAGCAATGTATTCCATGGTTAGTTGTTTATTAACATGGTTGAAGTTTCATTTATCAGTAGTAAATATAGCTTTATTGAAACTATTCTTTTTAATTACTGCTGTTAAAAGCTTTCTCCACATTTGATAGCTACTACTGAATAATTTCCTTATGTTCTATTGCCGCGTCTTCCAAAGCCTACTTGATCAAAGTGTGCGTTCCACAGTTTTCATCTATCTAGTTCGAAAACAGAAGTTTTCCTTCGAAAATGTCCAATTTGGCCCACTCTGTACTTTTTTTTTGTTCGGTGGTAAGCTATTTCTTTCAATTTCAGAATCCAGAGAAATTAACAAAGCATAAATTGGCAGTTTTGGTATGGATTCACGGTGGAAGCTTCCTGAGATGGTTTGGTACGATGGATCCTTTTGGACCCGACTATTTCATTGATAATAATGTGGTAGTGGTAACACTCAACTACAGATTGGGTCCACTTGGTAAATATTTTCAAATGTTGCTTCATAAAACTGACATCTGCCTATTAACTTGAATTGATCACTTTGATCAAGGGTTCGTACCTGGTGCTTGTTTCTGGGTACATAATCAATCTTTGTGTATGTGATGAACTCATCGTGGTTATCCAGTCCTTCATTTTCAGGATTTTTAACAACCAATGACGGAGTTATTCCGGCTAACAATGGCCTGAAGGACCAGCGTTTAGCTCTGGAGTGGGTTAATAAGAACATCGAAATATTCGGCGGGGACCCAGCCAAAGTAACTATAGGGGGTCAAAGTGCGGGGGCAGCGTCTGTAGGTTACCATCTCATGAGCAAAAAGTCTGCAGGTAATTTCAAACTATACAGTGCATTTCTTTAATGTCCCCCCTTTTATTTTTTGAACAGATCAAGTCAAATTGAAATTTGAGATATTGAAATTAATGCATGAATACTTCATTTTGAAGTGAAATTGACAAATGAAACATTCAAGATGGCGACAGGGCGCCATATGGAAAATAAAAGTTAAATGGAAAAGGAGGACTTGTGACACATCATTCTGAAGCTCCTGAAGAATACTTCATAGCCCTAGAATATGAAGTCAATATCTTCACCTACTAGATAAACACATTAATATCGATATTTCTAGAAATATTTCTTTTTATATGCCAAATGGCAATTGCAACAAACCGTTAAGGTTAGTTGAGTTATTTTTTGTTTATAAAAACGTCAAAAAATGTCAGTACGACAATGAACATCAATGTTCATTTGGAATATTCTCATTTAGTTTTCGGTTTTATAAGTAGAAAGGTACCACATCAACAATCTCTAAAATGGACAATTCTCGTCCATTGGAAGAAAAATTGAAGCGATTTTCATTAACGGTGCGACACGTAACTTTCACAAGACCGAAAGAATTTTCAACGAACGTTTTCCGAATTGTCCTATCTGTGGAAAATATTTGAGGGAACTTGTATCCAAATTCACAACCACCGGTAGTGTACATAACAAAAAGCCCAGGTCATCCGTCCATTCCGGAAGAACAGCAAGTGCAAATATATGGTGAACAGTCTACTTATTCCGTCGCGAATGTTTGGGAGGTGTCTCCTTCTACTGTGTGGAGACTTTCGAAGAAGAATAGGTATCATCTATACAAAATCAAAATGGTACACCAATTAACTGAAGATTACCCTGATCGAAGGACAGAATTCTGCGAAATCATGACGAAACCATTGCAAGGCATCCTACCTATCTCCACAATATTTGTTTTAGTGACGAATGTACATTTTTTCAGACGGAAATGTTCACAGACAAAATTGCCGTTATTGGAGTGACACCAACCCTCACGTTTGCCGGGAAACATATACACAATATCCAGAAAAATTTAACGTTTGGGCAGGAATATTGGGGAACCATATTGTAAAAACTCTATTTATTGATCGAAATTCAACAGGGGAACTGTTTTTGAATATGCTGAAAACTACTGTTGACCCTCTCATAACTGAAATTTTCGAAGCGAATCCTAATGAATTGGATATGGATATTGTATTCCAACAAGAAGAAGCACCATTACATTACTCCAGACAAGTAAAAAACTATTTGGATACTACTTTTCCTGGTCGTTGGATTGGCCGTCGAGGTTCTACAGAATGACCAGCCCGCTCGCCAGATTTGACACCTTTGGTGAAGCAAAAGGTGTACGAAACTGTACCTGCTTCGAAATTGGATATAATAATAATATTTATTCACCATTTTCAATACACTTGGGTATGTATGGTAAGTCAGTTGTACTACAAGCTAGTGAAGATAAAAAGAGAGGGAGATTGAACATAGATTCACCTCCATATATATATACACATATATACACATACATATACACACACATATGCAAATAAGCATAGATGCCCACAAATTAACTGAACCGTTTTCATCATTCACATAATTTAATCTGAATAAAATTACGTCCACTGTGAATTTGATTGTTTGTGAGATTGTTAATTAAAAAATCTTGGCAATTGTATTGGCATCTTTCTTAAAGCATAGTTTTAACATAATTATGGAATACTTTGTCACTTGTGATTTTTTTAACTACATTTGGCAGCTTATTGAAGCACGTAATGGCATTATACTGAGGGGATTTTTTATAGCTTGTCATGAGATGCTTGGGATTTTTAGAAGATCACCATTTCTTGTATTATGACTGTGATCTGAAGCAGTCTTATCATATAATTTATTGCCTAACAAATGAAATACATTTAAGAATGAAGATGGATGGGGCTGTCAATATTTTTTTGTCTATAAAGACGGGCCGGCAGCTATCCCTGGAAATCCATGTTAAAGATTAGCCTTGTGATGCGTTTCTGTGCTATGACGACTCTGGAAAAATCCCTTGCTCTGCCCCAAGCCATAATATTCAGACTACTATGAGAGTAGGCCATGGCATAATATATGCTGAGTAAGCCAGTTTCATCCAAACAGGATTTCAGCTGTTTTATGGCATAATATGCTCTATTTAACTTAGTCCACCTGCCTATCCCAATTTAGATTGGCGTCTACGAAGGTCCCTAAAAATTGTATTTCTTCAGAAGTTTTAATATCATAGCTAGAGTGCCGACCAATTGGAATATTTCTTCTGAAGAGGAAGTTTACACTGATCGATTCAGAAGTATTTAGAATGAGATTATTTCTTTGGCACCAGGTACTGAACTGATCAATAATATGTTCAGATTTGCTGATGAGTTGCTCAGCATTATTGCCTGCTATAGTTATCGTTGTATCATCAACAAACATTGTGACGTAGCTTCCCTTTATATGTTGAGGAAGATCATTAACATAGAAGAGAAACAGTAGAGGTCCTAGAACAGAGCCTTGTGGCACCCCGAGTTTTACCGTCTTTGACTCAGATGTCGCTCCATTGTAGATTACAATCATTTATTTGTTTGTCATATAGGATTGTATCCAATTTATTATATTTCGAGGAAACCCGAGCATTGACAGTTTTTTGATGAGGAATTCCGCGCATACTGTATCAAACGCTTTTGACAAGTCGAAAAATAGTGAGATCACATAATTTTTTTTTATCAATCTCTGTGTGAATATAATTCAGAAGATGATAGGAAGCTGTTTCTATAGATTTATTTTTCCTGAAACCATGCTGAGAATAATAAATATTTGTAGACATATTGACGTTACTGTGTTCGTAAATGTTCAGCGTGAAATATCGGATAGGCTGTTCATATGTCAAGAAGTTCAAGGCAATCATTTCGAGTATCTTCTGAACTGACCTCAAGCTTATTACCTCTTATTATATAGTTGTAGTAGTTGGAGATATTGACATTATATTCTAGGTGTAAAGCTTTTATCAGGAACTTCAAAAATATGTGTTACAAGACCCCCGTTTTCATTCAAATTATATTTCCAGATGGCGCCCAGTTGCCATCTGGAAAGTTTCATCTGTCAATTTCACTTCAAAATAATGTTTCCATGCATTTTATTATCACAAATTTCAATTTTTCGTGTTGACCCGTTCAAAAAATAAATGGGGAGGACATTAAAGAAACGCACTGTATATTGTCGATCAGCTTGATGTATGATTCAAATATTTTTCAGGTTTATTCAGAGCAGCTATTATGCAGAGTTCAAGTCCTTTGAATTGTTGGTCCTTACAAAACTATCCGAAAGATGCTGCAAACTTGTTGGGATCGAATCTGAAGTGGAATTCTAAGATTTTATCAAAATTATTATCGGCAAAGCAGGATATTCCATCGGAAATCCTATTGAGGAAGTTACAGAGTACTTCAATTGCAGACCTCAAAAAATATTCAGATATCAATGTGAGTGAAATATCATCAAACGTTTTCGGTGAATTGAGGCTTGCAGAGTAAACATATGAATGATGTGTGTTTAGAAATTCTCATATACAGGGTGTTCCTTGTCGGTATGAGAATACTCAAGAGTGTGAACCCACATGAGGAAATACGCCCAAAAATGTTCCGTTACGAGAATGAAAGGTTAATTTCATTAGTTCGGACTTCCATTGTCTGATATTATATGAAATGATTTGAAATCCCTGAAACAACTAAGAAAAAAAGAATTGAAAATTAAAATAAATAAAAAAAAAAGAATAAAAATGAATAGCTTATAAAACAATTATATTGAGCAAAACACCTAAAATGAAATAATAGTGAAATAAAATACATGTAAAAATGAAACAAATTGAACAAAAATTAATAAAATTTTATGAAAATAAACAAGAAAAAATTAAGAGATTCCAAGCCAAGTTGATTCACAACGTATCGATTGTTAGTATCCACAATCGTCTTTGGGTGATGACCAGACCGATTCCTCCGTGAGCTGACTACTTAGGTCATTTGAGTACTTTCACCTTTCTCTGCTTCCCTTTTTCCGCTTCACTGGTTTCAGTGGGAGATGCCCGTTTGGCGGGAGTTGGCCATTTTTCGCTTGATTATGGGTTTCCATATGTTGTGTATCTCTACGCTAGCGTGGCTGAATACATTGTTGGATAACATGTATGCGGCTTCTTTGAATTTCCTCCTTAACCAATATTCCTCCCTGTGTATGATCTCAGCTTGGGACCATTCGATGTTATGTTGATGGGTCGAAACATGTCCTGCTATTCCTGATTTGCTGGTTTCCCCACGCTGTGTGTGTTTCTTGTGCTCGGCAATGCGAACATTCAGTGGCCTCTTAGTTCCACCGATATATGATTTTCCGCACTCAGGGTATCTGGTAAATGCAATTCTGGGAACCGCAGTTCTCGTTTGGTGGCCTGGTTTTCGTGAGGCTGCTACGGATAGTGTTTCCGGATCTGGAGCAGGTTCTGATGTTGTACTTGGATCCAATTCTTCGCATCTTTTCCGATAACCCTCTGATGTAGGGAAGTGCAAGCACTGGTTGTGACGGCTTCTCTTCCTTTCGGGGCTCCTGCTGTCTTTTAGCTAGAGTTTGTTCCACCATCGCTTTGGAGTAGCCATTTCGTTGAAGATCATTTTCGATGATGTCTAGTCCTTTCTCGAGAACTTCCTTCGTATTGCAAAGTCCGGAAGTACGGTCTAATAAAGTTTTGATGATTCCTTTTTTAGTCGATTGATGGTGGTTGGATTCGTGGTTCAGATACTGTCCTGTGTGAGTGGGTTTTCGATATACAGATATTTCCCACTCAGTGTCGGTTCTCTTCACCAATACGTCTGAGAATGGCAATTCGTTGTGTGCCATATTATGAAGGTTTCTTGTGGACTTCTTCAATGGCCAGAGTTTCAAACTACTCCATATATATGTTGGCTATGACTGGTGAAAGTGGCGATCCCATTGGCGGTTCCTCATCTTGTGTAAAGAATTCGTCCTTCAGTTGGAAATAATAGTTTCGTCCTAGTAATTCTATAATTACTTCTATAGGTAAATTCGTTCTATCTCTCAGGACCTCGTCTTCGGATACCTTCCTCTGTATGATTTGGAGTACTTCTTCGACCGGAATTTCATTTAATTAATTTCTGTTCAATTTGTTCCATTTCTACTTGTATTTCATTTCAGGTTTTTCGCTCAATATGATTGTTTTTTCAGCTATTCAATTTCATTCTTCTTCTATTATTTTTAATTCTCCTTTTTTAGTTAGTTCAGGGATTTCAAATTATTTCATATAGTATCAGACAATGAAAGTCCGAACTAATGAAATTTATCATGAAACATTGTCAATCACCTGCAAAAAAAAGGTGTTGAAGTTTTGAGACAAAAACGGAAATTATTGAGTTGGCAAGTTCACATAAATTATGTTTGCAAGAGAATCAACACCAGTTTTTACTCATTGGTACAACTTAAAAAGGTTATGAATGAAGAGCATTTGTTGAACATTTACTATGCGATGGTTTATTCAATACTGTCTTACAATGTGCTTTTGTGGGGAGAAGGGATTAACATCAGTCGAGCATTAATCTCTCAAAAAAGGATAATACGTATGTTGTATGGTCTTCGACACACATATTCCTGTAGACCCATTTTTAGAGGAAAAAATTTAACACTACCATTCCAGTTCAAAGTGTCACAGTTACTCAACAAGAAATGGAAATCTAATTAAACTGCAGCAACATCGTACTAGATTGGTTCAAAAATCACCCTCTCTAGAAGCCTCCAAGCTATTCAATTATCTACCTTCAAATATACAGAGTATCCCATTAATATCTAGTTTCAAACGCAAAGTTAAAGAATACCTTTTAGAGGGATACATTACAAAAATTAGCCAATTTTTCTCTACGAATTCAAATTGAACCGACGCGCTGCCGAAACAGTCTGAAAAATCAACCGGACATTTGGCAACGATAGTGTTATTGAACGCACCGGTTTGCGAAATTTCGTTCCGGAGATTTCAGCTTCGAAGATGAGCTATGACGTGGCCGACCTACAGTAATCCAGGACGAGGATTTGAGGCACTGGTGGAGACTGATCCATCACAAACAGTGCGTGGGATGGCGGAGGAACTGGGCGTCAGCCCCCACGCAGTTTCTGATGGTTCAAAACGTATTGGAAAAGTGAAAAATTTCGAAAAGCACGTGCCCCATGATTTGAACTATCAACAAAAATTGTCACGTTTCGAGGACCGCTCTTCTTTCCGTTTGCACAACCAAAACGACCCTTTTTTTGAATGGATCGTCAGGTTTGATGGAAAAACGATCCTCTACGACAACAGGAGACATGCAGGACAGTGGTTGGACACCGATGTACCATCCAGGTACTCCACAAAAGCGAAAACCCACAGAAAAATGACAATGGTTACTGTATGATGTTGAGCGGTTGGTGTAATTCACAGTAACTTTCTGCAATCGGGACAAACCATCACAGCAGAGTAAAAAAAATGTGTTTAGCAACAGCTGGTGCCAGTAAACAGAGTAGGTTGTATCCTGTCCCACAACGTTTCACAAACCACCGTCCGAAAATTGAACGAATTGAGCGTCGAAGTTCTGCTTCACCCATTAAACTCCCTAGACCTCTCGTCAACCGACCATCATTTTTTCAAGCACTTTGATAAGTTTCTAACAGGTAAAACCATCGCCAATCAGGATCAGGCAGAAACGGCCTTCGTCGACTTCATTAAATCACGAGCACGTCCACTTTGAATAAAATGAATGAGTGTTCACGGAGATATTACAGTTCAAAGTAGAATCAAAGAGACGGGACAAAACTTTTGAAACAACCCAATAGATTCGTATTCAAAGATGATCACTAACATGTAAATTTCTTTCAGATCGAATTCTCAGCTTGAAAGTCTCGACGACTACAAAAAATTGTGGACAGTTTTACAAAGACAGGATTTGAACAGAATTGAGTTATATTTCCTGACGATATGACTTCAGTTACAGGTACCATTGTCCAAGAAGAACTGTCATGCCTTCACTTCTTTAACATGGACTCCTGTGATTGAAAATGAAGATGACGAGAATGCTCTGGTAACTGGGTGGTCTCACGAAAATATCAAGAAAGGAAATATCAACAGAGTTCCTGTTCTGATGGGGATAAACTCAGAGGAATCGTTATTGTTTGGTAAAACTTTTTACAGTTCCATATTCATTTCACTTTTATTAGTTTAACCGAGCCATCGAAAAAGCAAAATGAATCAATTGCTAGATGACATCATTACGAATAACGTGTTGAAATAGTTATCATTTTTAATACTGGAAACATTTATGATGCACTGTTTGGAACCTTTGGTGTTTTTTCCCCAACACCAAATCGTTATTTTTAACACCTCGACACGTGTTTCGATCACCAAGTGATCATCTTCAAAGAGGAAGGTTAATCAGTTTAATCTTCCTCTTTGAATAACCTGATTAACTGATCAACTGATTAACTGATTAACCTTCCTCTTTGAAAATGATCACTTGGTGATCGAAACACTTGTCGAGGTGTTAAAAATAACGGTTTGGTTTTTGGGAATAATATGAAGTCAATATCTTCGCCTACTACAAAATGGCGGAACATTCAATAATTTCTTGAAGACAAACACATTATTATCGATATTTCTAGAAATATTTCTTTTTATCTGCCATATGGCAATTGCAACAACCCGATAAGGTATCTTACCTATCTCCACAATATTTGTTTTAGTAACGAATGTATATTTTTTCAAAGACAGACAAAATTGCCGTTATTGGAGTGACACCAACCCTCACGTTTTCCGGGAAACTCATACTCAATATCCAGAGAAATGAACGTTCGGGCAGGAATATTGGGAAAACATATTGTAGGACCTCTATATATGGATCAAAATTTAACAGGGAAACTATATTCGAATATGCTGGAAACTACTGTTGACCCTTTCATCACTGAAATTTTCGAAGCGAATCCTAATGAATTCGATATGGATATTGTATTCCAAGATGGAGCACCTCATTACGCAAGAAAACTAAAAAACTATTTGGATACTATTTTTCCCGGTCGTTGGATTGGCCGTCGAGGTCCCACAGAATGACTAGCCCGCTCGCCAGATTTGACACCCTTGGACTTTTTTTATGGAGCCATTTGAAGCAAAAGGTATACGAAAGTGATCCTGTTTCAACATTGGATTTTCGGCAGAGAATAATAAATATTTGTAGAAGTATTGACGTTACTGTGTTCGAAAATGTTGGGCGTGAAATATCGGATAGGCTGTTCATATGTCAAGAAGTTGAAGGCAACCATTTCTGCCATATCTTCTGCCATCTGCCATCTTGAAAGTTTCATCTGTCAATTTCACTTCAAAATAAAGTATTCATGAATCAATTTCATTATTTCAAATTTCAATATTTTGAGTCGTCCCGTTCAAAAAATAAAAGAGAGGGACATTAAAGAAATTCACTGTATAATAATATTTCACAGTATCGGGGTATGTCAAGTCCTCAAAAAAGTTCGGAGAGGTAATAAAATAATCTGACTACACCAAAACAAAGTGCCTGTACCCGGAAACATTCTAAATACCTCAGTCACTGTTTTATTGTGCACATGAGTATTTCTTACAGGGGCGCAGAGTATTCAAGTTCAATGTTCACTGTTCGATCCATCTTTGAGGTCGATGATTACCGGAAATCTTTTCATGGAAGAGAAGAATAAACCACCAGCCAGCTCTTGCATTAAAGACCTGTATACGAAATCTCTGTTCTCAACGGACAGAGCAGCAACTCTGAACGTAAGCAAATTTTACGTTATGTGATAAAATGGTTAGGGCCGAGGTTTTCAGTATCACTATTTTTGTTCGGAATTGTAAGCGTCCCATTTTTGGAATTTCTTTACGCTTTACATCTTCATGAGGACGATATTCAATTTAATCACAGTTTTCATTCAGGAGATGTCAAAGAAGCTTGCGGAATCATAAACTCTGATATTAGTAATTTTATTGAACTAGTAACTTCAGACTCGCTTTTTATTAATAAAGAAAAATCTAAGGTTATCATTTCCGGGTCCAAAATCAGTAGAAGTGGAATCATCAATTCAGTTGTAATTCGTATATAGTCCAGTCATTATAGTAAGTTCACCTCGGAATTCGAGATACCCAGCTGTAAGTCTGTAAATACTTGTTTATTGACACCCTAAAAGTTGTCTCAAAACCTACATATGGTAGGGTGTAAGCAACTATTAAATTTCAAGGTCAAAGATCACAAAAATCGGTTTTTTGCGCTTTTTTTGGAAATATCTCATTTCCTATGGGTTTTTTGCTATTTGTATTTATTATCAATATTGTAGAATACAAAATTCTCTACAAATTTTGTTT